ACCTGAAACTTGGTCTCTTGGAGCCTCCATTTTCTCATCTGTAAAATGGGAGCAATTACACGGAAGCCCAAAATTGTCATAGAATTAAACAGGGTAATTCATGGAAAGCATTTAGCAGAGCGCCCAGCACATGGCAGGCGATGGATACATGCCAGCAAAGGGCTTCCTGGTGGAAGAAGGTCCATCCTGGAGGGAAAAGAAATACTAAGGAAGGTTTTTTTTAAGATAGCAGCAGTGGGATGGGGAAGAAGGCAAGAATTAAGAAGTTTTGTAGACAGAGTAAAGAGAATTCGCTAACTTAAGATCAAAAGTGAGCTGTGAAGGCTGAGGGGGAGGACCGCTAGGCCTGGTTGCTAAGCCAACACAGGAAGCAGGTTGGGGAGGTTGCTATGCCAACAGAGGAAACTGGCCTGGGGAGGGTGAATGTAGGGAGAGGTTATTGACTTTTCCTCTAGGGCATGTGGGGTTAGAGGGGCCTTGGGGATATTCAGGTGCGAATGTCCAATGGAATGGGAAATGTGAGCTCAGGGCCACAGGTCTGGGTGTCCTTGCTGGTTTACAGAAGGTGACTAACGCTGTGGGCGTGGCTCAGAAGTTCCCACCAGTGGTGGGAAGACTTGAAGACCAGAATTCCTAAAAATGTTAAAGGGATGGGGTGGGGGGTGGAGGGGGGTTAAATGGGACTGTCAGAATGACCCACCCAGGAGGTGTAGCGGCAGGGGGGTCTCCGAGACAGGAAGTCCTGTGGAAAATACAGCTGAGTTCTAGCCACGCTGGCAAAGCCCGCCTAGGGCTCCGAGGGCCACGCATGGACCCAGACCCCAGGACTTCACGGACGTGAGCACAGACAGGCGGGGCTGCAGGATTTCACGTCTGGAAGAGGCAGGAACAGGGCTGGGCCAGGACCCATGTCCTCCATGTGCTGTCTCCCCTTCCGTGGGCTCTGAGCTGGGCCTGGTATGTGCAGGAACTTTGGGCCTTCCTTCCGATCATCTGGAATTTCTGAGATGGAGCGGGGGGGGGGGCGGGGGGAGGCTTTGATTCACACCACAGAGAGAGAGAACAACATCCTTTATCAACCTTGATGGCAGATTTCAGAGTTTAGAATCAGGCTAATTTCCAGAAGTTTAGGGTTGTGAAGAAGTCTGCTTAGTGGTGAGTTACGTGGGCTCCTGAGTTAGGAGAATCTGATTTGAAATCTCCTCTCACCTGGAAGCTGTGAGGCCTGCAATCACTGTTTGCCTCTCTGCCCTCAGTTTCCTCACCTACACAGTGGGAATGGCAATATTACATCTCCTCCTAGGGTTGCTGCAAGAGTCAAATGCAAAGTCTGGGTGAAGAGCCTAGTATGGCCCGTGGTGCGGATGCATGCTGGGCTCGGCTGTCTCATCCCTCCCAACACCAGCGTGAGGAACAGCATGCTGGCAGCTTGGCATCACCAGGGTGGGCATGTGTGCCCCACAGAGCACTGGATATTACTGCTAGTGTTGCCATCTCCCAGTCCATCTGAGCGCATCTTAATTTATATCTGGATGTAACGGTTTAAGAGCGAATCCCGTGCTCCTCCAAGATTTCCAAGAGCATCCATTCTTCTCATCACCTCCTGTAAACATGCCCGCTTGTGATTTGGTGTCCTTATTACTGGAATGTTTTATCTTATCTCCTCTATTGCACCTTTTGGTGGATGTTGAACCTTTTATTTCCTTTCCCCCCAGATAAACAGAAAGCTTCAGCGTAAAGCAGATTGACTAAAGGCGTTTTTCTGCAGAAAGAATCATTATGGGAAACAATATGGGGGATCCTCGTGAAATTAAAAATAGAACCCCCATAACCCAGCAATCTCGCTTGGGGTATATAGCCAAGGTACACAAAATAACTAACTCAAAGGGAGTCTATAATAAGAACTCTCACAATTTTGAAGGTGAGGACCTACCTGTTAAGATCACAGTTTGGAAAATCAATACACATTTTTGTGGCTGCTCCTCTGAGCCAGGCACTGCATTAGGCACAGAAGGGAAATAGAGATGAAGACTGCGTTGGAGGAGACAGAAACCTCAAGTAACAACCAGATGATGCAAAGGTTTGAGAAGACGGGAGGCATCTTCCAAGGGCACATCACGGGAAGCCAGCCCTGCCCTGTGGGAAGCAGGAAAGCCGGGTGGGGCAGGTGACACTTGACCTTCAGGGAGAAGAGACTGCTAACCAAGCACAGCAAATCAAGAACAGAGGCATGGAATTCAAAGTAACTCGCTCATAAGGAGACACTGGGTTTGGAAAAGGCACCCCAAATCTATCACTTCTGTTGGGTATGCTTCTCTTTTGGTCCTCAACTCCGATGCAGAGAACCTACCATATTTCTGATACAAAAGTCAGGGCTGTTTCTGGCTCTAAATTTATGGCCTGGAGAAAGAACTGAGAAGGAAAGATGGTGGAGCTTGTGTCTATTTTGCCACAGATGATACAATAGTGTCTGGGTGACTCCAGAGAAATCTGCAGGCTCTCAGAAGGCATTGGGACCGCATCTGAAATCAGGCTCACAATAAGACACAGGTTCTCTTGTGATTTCTGAAACATCTCTTTGTTTAATCATAGAATCCTTTTCATCTTCCATTCATCATAAATAATCCACTTCATTACTTTACCAATCCTTTTGAAAAAATTTGGTATTTAGCATAAACAAACATTGAACATTAGCCAGAGGTGTGTTAATTTAAACAGAATAGGAAAGAATTTGAAAAAAACAAAACAAAAAACCCACCCATAAAAATTTTAAAACTTAGAAAAAAACATAAGAATAGATAGAATAGATTATCACCCACTAAAAAAATCAAATTTCATAACAGCCATTAAAAAAAAAATCCAGGTGGAAAAATGGGTAAACATAAATATAATCTAATTATTTCTTTCATAAATACACTTAGACAAAACAAATACATAGAACAGATAGCTTGACAGTACATAAACATAATAAAGTATTTTCAGACATGAATAATTAAATCCCAATAAAAATGAGTTAAAAATAAATTTTAATTGTTTTTTCTTTATGGAAAAATATGCCACAGCATTTATGTAAAAAAAAAAAAGGCATAAACTTATCACTAAAGTTACCAAAATTCACCATGTAGATTATTAAAAAAAAAAAAAAAAAAAAAAAAAAAGACTTTTTTTTTTTAAAGCAAAAGATGTTATAGTATTTTCAGTTGAATTTTATCCCATAATCACACACCTACTACAGGTGTTTGACAAGAGAGGTAGATAAGTTGGGGGAAAAACAGCATCCTAATGCTAGCTTTTATTGTAACTCAATTTCATTGACTCTGAACTTTAAAGAAGTTTACAGGAACAGAGCACAAAAACTTTTCCGAGCTCCATTATTTGTAAGCATCCAAAGTACCAAGCAAAATTACAAGCAAAAGTCTTAACAATGAAAACTCTTGACAAATAGCCCATTTAGCATAGTTTTATGCAAGGTCTGGCACTAGCTTTAAAATTGACACCGAGGACAACTGTTGTGAAATTTGTGAAATTCGGTGATATGGAATGAGTCAGAAGAAGCTCACGGGAGAGGAGACCGGGTAGCAACAAGAACACAAAGTTACACTGTGGATAGACTTGATTGGTTCCTAAGGAATTGTTTTCTTTTGTTGACAGAACAAGAAGACAGCTGCCAAGGACAGTGTGGCCCGGTGTGACTCCAGGTGCCCATCTTGTCTGTCAAATCAAGAAAGACACACGGAGAGGATGCCACAGAGGATGTGCAGGAAGCAGCGAGAGTGTCCCCCTGATTGTATATATTGCTTTATTCTCTCTTTGGGTCCAGTGAATGCTCTCCAGCCATCCCAGAGGCAAATATTCGATACTGTTTTGAAAGCTGAAGCCCAATTGGGAACGAATTTTTCTTAATAATTTGGCCAATAAGTGGTTTTGCATTTTCTGTGCCCACTTTTCTTTCTATTTGGCTAGAAAGAATGTGTATCTGTAACATCTGTTTGCATCTATGACCTTCATATTTCCATTTATTCATAACAGCAATCTGATTTAAATTTTTTTTTTAATGTCACAATCCTTTGACAAGTCTGCCAAGGAAAATTTCATTCATAACTTGTCTCAAATGCCGTAAGTATGCTTAATTCAAGGATGTAACAGGCTGCTTCTAGCTAAAAGGGGTGATTTGTGCTCAGCACATCTATATAACAGGAAAAGGTTTTTCTCAGTTGTGGAATGTGAATACAGCCCATCATTAATTGCTGCTGCTCTCAAACTGATAATAGGTTTGTGTCTCACATTTGGCTGTTATGAGTTTGCGAGTGTGTTGGGAAATAGGAAAGAAATTAAAGCAAAAGAAAAACGAAAAATCCATGATTTTGAAAATTCTGAAAACCATATTTTGTAGTTTTCCTCAAAACGTCCTTTCATTGACTCATCACTCAACCATCAGGTCTTTTCTTTGAAGCAGCTTAAATTTAAGACACATAATATCACAATTTCTGATCATGGCACAGAGGAATTTCTGTGTGGAAACCATTTGAAGGAATGTCTAAAAAAAAATGATGTCAAGGAATGCAGACAACTTATGCTTTTCAGTCTATGACTCCTGTGGAGTTGATCAGAGGCATGTCACAGTTGTAGAAAAAAAAAAATCACACAGTAAATCAAAGTACTTAGATTAAGACTTTGGAAGTTCTCCCCGCCTTCGGAAGGACGTTTCTCCTTCCGAACAGTACAGTAACCACGACAGAGGTGTACGCACAAAGCTGGGGCTTTTGTCACTTGGGATGAACAATTCCAAAATACTGCACCGCCCCTGGCAGTAACCAACAAAGTCGGTTTTGGAAAGAATGCTCTTGTCAAATACATTTTTAAGGCACTTCAACAGTTATATCGTTTTCTGTGTGTAAAAAAATAAAATATGCATCGGAGCAAAATTCACAAGTACGCGTCTCAGGACTGTGCACAACCCTGTACATATGTACACCGCCGCAGCCCGGGCACCGCCTGTGCTATACGTCCGGCCTCGTCAGCTTCACTCCCTGCAAGAGAGGAGAAGATGCAGTTCAGACTTGGACAGCACCCGGGGCCGAGTGCAAGTGTCAATAAACATCAGATCATCGATGCAACGAGGAAGAAGAGGCCCGTCCAGCGAGCACTAGGTAACCACTGACCCAAACCTCGGTGACAGACATCGCCCGCCCAGCTCTCTGGCCTGCAGGCTGTCACCTCCCAGACTGGCCTGGCCGCTCACACAGTCCCCTGTACACTGGGCTTGGCTGCAGGTCTCAATCGGTCTTGTCTGCAGGGCCATCGGGGAGACACTTGCGATGGGTGCTCTGGTTTTGGTTTTGTGCTCCCTTGGGAGGGATGCCATCCTAAGGCCCTGGCGTGTTCTAAGTTAGACAGCGGTCCCAGCGTGGGAAGATGAACAGCGCTGTCCAATGTTGCCTCCCCTTGGAAATTCTTCTGATCTGCAGAACAAAGGCCAGGGCTTTGGACCATTCAGAACATTTCACTCTGACTAGTTTGCTATTTGCTATGGCTGTGCATTATTATTAGGGCATCAGGATTCTCAGATAATTTTCTTCATTCTTTGTCAAAATGTATATGTAGAAATTCTGGTCCATAAGGCACACATACATTGATAAATGTAAGTATAAGTCTAACTGAAATTTTTCAAAATGGGTGAACAGTGAAGAATAAGGTGCTAACATGCTCCTCTACCAACCCCGTGTGGGAGGACAAGGCCTGGAGCCATGCCTGGCGCAGAGTGGCCCTCACTTGGTTAAGTAACTACATGAGTGACGGTGTTGGGTGCATTAATCTTTCCAGGTAGGAGCCTGGGGACTAGGGTGCATCTTCGAAAAGCAGAGTGTACTTCCGTCTGGAGTGTCCTCATGGTGCAGGGGAAAGGTTTTGGGGGCCAAAGAGACTAGGGTTCAAGTCCTCACTCTAACACTGACTAAAGCACCCACACGGCCTGGGGAAAGTTGCTCACTTTCTGAGCCTATTTCCCAACCTGTACGGCAGAGGTAACAGAGCTGCTGCAGACACTAATGGACAACAGTGACAGGAAGGACAAGCACAGCAGCTAGCTTTTGTCAGACACCTGCCGTGTGCTCTCCCACAACTCTGGGGGTATATCAGCATCAGTCCTCGAGTGGCAGACACTGAGGGGCAGAGGAGTGATGTGGCCCAGGCCACCAGTGAGCAGGGGCAGAGCCGGCAGCGGGCTGGCTCTCGGGTCACATGTGCTTTGAGTGCATTTACTGAACATTCACCCCAGTGCACCGTGCCCTTCAGTATGAGCAAATGGAAACGAGCTTGACAAGCTGCCATTTAAGTATAATTGTACTTTTATAACCACACAAAACATTTAACCTCAACCCTCCTGCTCAGACTGAAGTGGATCCGTGCAGCATTGTTGGGTTTAGTTAAGGAGCTATGTCCTCTGAGAATGAGAACATGCAGTGTGTGAACAGCTAACACCCAGAAATAGCATTTCAATCTGATCCGGATCCAAGTAAGACGGTCTGGAGTCCCACCTTCTGCCGCGACACCATCCAGGACTTTATCGTGGGCACCAGCACGCTGCCCAGGAGGATCTGCACCGGGTGGTAGATGAGCAGAGGGACGGAGATCAGGGAGAGGTGCTCGTGGCCTGCGAACACGATCTTCAGCATGGGGATTCCTGAGGGACAAAGGGAGGAAATCGAGAGGCACGTTCAGTGTGTTATCCATTAAGGACATTCTCCATTAACATTGGAACTTGAAATAGGTCATTGCCACATCCCCCGGGGGTTTCACAGGACTGGAAAGGGAAGGTCTCAAATGAGTCACCAAGTCGGTTCATCTTTTTTTCACGACACAGGCTCTGAGCTCCACCTGGAGCCAATGAAAGCTCAGAAGGTGCTCAGTATTTGAGGGCACCAAGAACTCTTGCTGCATGAGCAGCCTGTCTAACAGGGGGCGGGGAGGAGATAGCGTGGAACAGAGTTGCTTCAGGAAGTCTGAAAAATCCCAGAGAGGCCAACGTTCAGAATGGGTCCTTTCTTGCTTAGTCGTGAGATAGGGAACGTTGATGAGAGAGAAACATCGACCAGCTGCCTCTTGCACACCCCTACTGGGGATGTGCCCGCAACCCAGGTACATGCCCTTGGCTGGAATCGAACCCGGGACCTTTCAGTCCTCAGACTGACGCTCTAGCCATTGAGCCAAACCAGTTTCGGCTATGACTCCATTTTTATTATGTTCATTAACTAGGTAAGAAAAAAAAAAAAGTGCAATGATTTAAAAAAACAAAACAAAACACCAAACTCACTAGAAAGAGTTTTCTTTTAAAAGTAAAATTTAAATACAGGACTCTTTTCATCTCACCATCACTGCAGTAATACAAATGAAGGAAATTAATTTTAATGCTCCCAGGTACTGATTCTGTGTCACCCTGGCTGACAGGAGCCAATGAGACTTTATGAGGTGGCATCTGACTTTATGGAAGTGAACAAGAGGCATGCATTTACAATTTTACAGGGACTTTAGGCTGTCATGCTGAAAAATGTTTATAAAACATTAATCAAAACGTGCCTCTTTAATACAATGCATTGTCTGAAAGATGTTAGAAGGCGCACCCTGTAAATGGATTCCTTTTCTGACTAAAGTAATTTCCACCCAAAGCATCTCCCCACTGCTCTGCGCGCGCCGTGTGGCTAGATAAAGAGCCCTGCTGAGGCACGTCACCGCCTGATGCGAGCACTTGGGAAATCCCTGATGTACAGCAGCCGCATTTCCATGTCGCACATGACACATTCGTCTGAAATCACCCAACAGGGTTTGACACGGCGGCATCTTCCATAAGCACAGCTTTCAACAGACATCTGCCCGGTAGGAACTTCAAGTGCGAGCTTTCTTCTTCTAACAAGCAAGGAAGGGGTTTCTTTTATCCTTTTCTTTTATTCTTTGTTCCCAGGATGGAAGGGATAAAACAATACGAACTGGAACAGGTTCCCCCCTTCCCCCGCAAGCCCTCCATTTTAAGTATGTTTATTTTATGTTCTCTGAATTACAATATTCCCTTTGTATCAATGTTCGAGTTTCAAGTTACTACTTTCTACTGGATGAACTGTTTTCTATTTTTCCTTGAGAAACAGATATCCGTCTTCAGAGATTAAACGTGGGCCTTTGTATAATTCCCACAAAAGGGTTATTGATAGTTCACAATATAAAAACTATTGACTTGATATCATTATTTAGAGTTTATTTTACCTGTAGGTGCCCACTGTTCTCTTTCTATCTCCCTATCTATCTATCTATCTATCCATCCATTCATTAAAAATAATACTCTTTGGGCCTCTGCTGTCTGTGAGTTCTTGTTCCCGTGCTGAGGACATTAAGAGAACACAGGCCAAGTCTCTGCTTTCCTGAGGTCTTGACTACCTCAACTTTCCCCCAACTAAGGGATGAGAGTCCCCCTGTCACCGGCTTACCCAGCTTCTACAACTCAAACTTGGGGCATCACCTCGACTAATCCCATTTGTCTTTCCAGCTCCAGAGGAAGCCACCAGCTCTACATGACACTCCTGCAGTCTCCCGTCCACCCACATCCCCCTTCCCTCAGCTTTCACCACACCTTCCTAACTCAGTTCCTCAACCAATCAACCAACCAACCAACCTGCCTGGGGCCCGTCTTCAGATTCTTCCCTTCATCACCGCTGCAGACCAGTAGGATTCATCTTCCTAAAGCCCGGATCCATGAAAGCCACTCCCTGCTAAACAATCACAAGGACTTTCCAGAGACCATTCATCGAATCCTCTACCCATTCAACTCGGAGCAAACCACTGTTACTACCTCCTGGAGTAAGTGCTCGCTCGTCACACACCACTGCTTTGCCTGCGTTTTCTCATGTAATCCTTCAGCAGCCTATGGTGGCCATTTTCCCACTTAAAGATGAGGAGCCCTGGGTTTGGAGCAGTTAAGTGACTTGTTTGCCATCACACGTCAGGGCAGGTGGTGGAGGCAGACTTAGACCCCAGCTCACTTACTTTTTTTTTTTTTTTAAATATATTTTATTGATTTTGTACAGAGAGGAAGGGAGAGAGATAGAGAGTTAGAAACATCGATGAGAGAGAATCATCAATCAGCTGCCTCTTGCACACCCCCTACTGGGGATATGCCCGCAACCAAGGTACATGCCCTTGACCGGAATCGAACCCGGGACCCTTCAGTCCCCAAGCTGACACTCTATCCATTGAGCCAAACCGGTCCCGGCCCAGCCCACTTACTTTTTATCACAAAGCTACATTAACTCCATCAAACCCAACTTCCCACTGCCCATGGCCCTCATGGCTCCGGCCCAGTCCTGCCTTGTCTTTGTAGAAGCTAAGCCACCTGGGTTCATCTTTCCTTACCAGGTGCCTAAATCCCACCACGGGTTCTCTGGACTCCACTTTGTATCTTCCTCCACCTGGAAAGTGGCCCCTGTGGGTGTCTTAAATCTATTTTGTGTAGGTTTTGTTTCCCCTGAACAAAGGCAAAGTATTATAATTTTCGTTGACTCTCCTTTGGTGTTTTTTAGTGCAGCACAAGACGGTGCTCAATACATAATGAGGGATTGACTATTCAGGAACAGGTGCTAAGCAATGTTTCCTGTTGAAAGCGACAGGATGTGGAACACATACCTGATGTTTCACTGGACTGTAAAGGGAATTGTTCACACACACCCTCTGGGGAGGACTGTGTTGTATAGGATAAAAATAGGAGCAGAGGAAATATTTTGAAAACGTCCCTTGTGTCTTTTGGAATCTGATAGTACGCTTACTTTCTCATGTGGCTGAGAGATGGTCTACTCCGCTCACCTGGACCATTTTCTGTCTTTCAAAGATCCGCTCGCCTGCATTCACACGACTTGTTCCCATTAAGTGCTTCCTCCGCGTCCCCACTGAGCTCTGGAGAGAGCTGCTGGCCAATCGGGGGTCCAGTGGCTTCTCTCTTTAGTTGTCATGGTGATTTCCCACTTTTGTTTCGTTTGTTCTTAGTTAGAAACATCCATAACTTTACTATCCAAATGCCCTATGCATTGTTATTTGAATTCTCGCTCTTCCTGGTCAGTGGGTCTCTCAGGAAGGCCCATGTTTGCCTTTAACAGTTATTGGGATAGATGGTCTCCACAATCAATATGCAGTCCAGCATGGTGCTCAGTGTTTGAGAAACACGAACCCTCTTGTCTGACATCGCTAAATGCCAATCTCTGTGTCCCCGTACCCAGCACATACATACACACACAGACATAACACAAATACACACACACACACACACACACACACACACACACTCACAAACTCACCCCACACTCTTTCTCTCGAAGACAAATAGTGACAGAAAATCAAACTCGCTGGCACTGGTTTATTTCCATGACTAAAGGAAGGGGCAATTCTGTGCCATTTCTAGAGCACGAAACGATGCTTGGATAAGGTCCAACAGCAGTTTTGGAATTTGGTTACAAAGGCTTTCAAGAAGGACTGTCCCAAAGCAAGCTAGTTTTTAGTAACACAGATGTTCCATGCTGCCACCGGAAACCCAGCCTACCCAGGAGCCCGCACAGGGCAGTGTATAGGAGGCCTGACAGCCAAGTCAGAAAGCCCTGGGCTGGACCCCCACGCCCACCCCTAACTCCTGAGTGACCCTCATGAGGCAAGTTACACAGCCTCAGTTTTCACATCTGTAAAATGTACCCACTTTGTAGGTGTTTTTTTTTTTTTAGTGAAATAATACATAATGTCTGCTAAGTAATAAGTCTTCATTGCTATATGCCAGACACTGGGGTCGGTGCGGTGAACAAATGGACAACCCCCCCACCCCCCCAGGTCTTATGCTCTTACTCATTTAACCAGGAGAGAAGATAGAGACCAAGCCGAAGCCAGGCGAGGAGCAAGCCCACCGGTCACGGGGGACTGAGAAGACACAGCACTGCTATCAGAAGCCGCCAGGCAAACGGATTCAGCAAGGCTCTGTGTCATTCCGATTTTTAGAGAGGGTCAAAAGGAAGGCCACCTGCCCGCAGGTGAAGGCATGGGGCCCGGGCCCATCAGAGACCTTGCTGATCAGCCGAGAGCTGCCTAGGTGCGGCCTCTGACGAGCACCAGCGGGCACTGCAGCGGGTGGTGCACAGAGGCCTGAGGAGCCCCCGGGGGGGAAAGAGCTGCTTGACATTAGCCCAGCGCACCAGAGGGGAGGCCCCAGAGTAACAGCTACACAGGAAAGGCCTGGAAGGGAGGAGGCGCTCCTTTCAAGAGGGGCTTGGGTGGCTGGCCTTCCACTCGCTAGGAATACAAGCAGGTTCACGAGCGTTTTCGGCCCGTTTGGAAAATCTAAGCTTATGTTTTTGCCTTCAGTTATCTGGGCTGTAACGCTACCACTTGGCTGAAAGTTTTATGTCAATAAAGATGCAAACTAGACCAAAATGAGCATCTGGTGTCGCCTGTACGTTCTGGTGGGAAACGATGTTTAATGATGGGGCTGAGCGGGCTCAGCAGATGCTGGGATGAAACACTGAAGTCCACCAAGGGAAGGGCTCCGCCTCAGAGAGTGAGGGGCACCCTCACCTGTCTGGAGGCATCGCAGGAGCGGTTAGCGGGCAGGGAGTTAAGAGTGAAGAACTGCGCGGGGAGCCCGCATCGGAACGCGGCTGTGTCTCC